ATCCCCACACTGGGGAAGGGGGAGCAAGGCTGGCACAGGGGGGCTGTGGAGCACTGGCACCAGCAGCAGCACCAGCTCTGGCTGCAGGAGCACCGTGGTGGGAGGCAGGGTGAGATCAGTGGGCAGGGGGGCTCTGGCTCCGTGTGGCTGCGTGCTGCGTGTGCCCTGGGGATGATAATGTATGTGAGGAGGAAGGTGTATGTCACCCACATTAAAGGAGTTTAATGTGCTCGGAGTCACAGTATTGTACCCTTGCAGAATACATTATCTGTCACGCTGCCTTTACAGGCTGTCACCTCGCAGAGAGGCTGCAGAGTTCCTGGAAACCATTATCAGCCTCTAATGATATTATCAAAATTGGAGCAGGCGCGGTGTGGTGGGGCCAGGGGAGGCACTGCCACTGCTCTCCGTGCCCTGAGAGGTGCCTCCTGTGCCCCACCAGCCCTGGGAGCAGCGGGATGGGGGCTGCAGCTCCACAGACCCCTCTGGAGCCAAGTGCAGTGCCTGAGGCAGTGAAGGGTGTCATGGGTGTCCCCGAGTGTCCCATGGAGCCACCACCGGGACTGGGGTTGGAACCTCGGGCAGGGGGACCTGGTCCTGCCCCATAAGAGCTCTGCTCACCTGTGGGGGGGCCCAGCCCATGGGCACCCTCCCCACCATGTCCCACTCCAGGGTGCGGGCCAGCGACCCCGCGGGAGCAGCCGAGCACTGCTCTGCCCTCTCCTTGTCAGGCGGAATTAAAAAAAAAAGGCACCGTCTTTTTTGGAGTGTAATCTTCCGCCTGCGACAAGGAGCCACGCAAACTGATAAATTGCAGATTAAACGAGTGCCACACTCCACTCCAGCCCTGGCTGTTAATTCCCCTGTTGTGCAATTCCCGGCTCTCAGGGCCTGTCAATTCCAGCTAATCGCAGGAGGCACTAAAACACTCTGCCCTGACAGCCCCGGATCGAGGCACCCCTGACTCCCGGCTCAGGTGGATTGCACGCATCACTTATGCACAAATCAGCAATATGCCAGCAGGGAGGAATTATGTCCGATGACAGCCCAGACATGAGGTACATATTGCAGAGCCGGCGAGCCCCAGCCGCCGTGACAGATTGCGGCTCTGGTGCGGGAGCAGATCCCGCTGCACCGGCCCCGAGCGCACCCGGAGCCACCGGCCCCGCGCCTGTGCTGGGCAGGATGGGACGGACCCCCGCGCTGTCCCCAGCCTGTCCCATCCCCAGCACTGTCCCCAGCCTGTCCCCATCCCCAGCACTGTCCCCAGCACTGTCCCCATCCCCAGCACTGTCCCCAGCCTGTCCCCATCCCCAGCACTGCCGTGGCCGGGGTTGCCCACAGGGGCCGGTGCTGGCACCGTATTGAAGGAACTCCCTGTGCTTGAGGTGGGGAGGGCACGGGGCTGGGAATGGCACCGCGGGCACGGGAGCTGTCCCACCTGGGGTGGGGGCCGGCCCTGCTCAGCCCAGCCCGGCTCTTCTGTAACATTTAACTTGCCTTAGTCTGTGATCCTGAAAAGCTGAAATTAATGACAGCCTTGCAGTTGCTCATTAATAATTGCTTCATTACTGTACGCAGTTGCAGCCTCCTGACAATAATGGGGTTTGCTGGTGTATTTCTAATTATCTGGCATTCCAGCTCCCTAACAGAGCCCTGGCACTCCCCAGTGAGACCCTCCTCTCCAGCAGGAGCACAGCCCAGCCCGCTCAGCCCCGACGGCTGCGTCAGCCCACGTGCTCCTTCCTTTGCAGCTCCTGGGAAGGGGCTGAACTGCCCTGGTGAAGGCCCACGTGGGACCTGGGGGCATCCAGATGCACCACGTTTGTGCCGAGCTCTGCCACGTCCCCGTCACATGCCTGCTGCTCGTGGCCAGGTTGGTTTGGGAGCAATGACGTCGAGCGAGGCAGCGGCACTGACCAGGTGTGTGCCTGCAGCTGGTGGTGCTTGGCATGGCCGTACCATGGCCATCCCCATGGCCACACCACTGCCATCCCCATGGCCACACCACTGCCATCCCCATGGCCACACCACAACCATCCCCATGGTCCTGGCAGTCCCGGCAGCCCCAGAGCTGCCCCTTGTGTACCTTGCAGCCTGGGTGAGCAGAGCCAAGCGGGAGGTGCCAGGAACCTCGTGGATGCCTCTGGTGGGTCTGGCTCGGGCAGGGCCTGCGGAGCTGCAGGTGTTGGCTGCTCTCCCGGCAGGAATGTGAGCGTTGTTCATCAGCTCCTTGCAGAAATTCCCCCGGCAGTGGCAGCGGTGGCAGCGGCGCCGGCGTTGGGGGAATTGTGGCAGCGTCCCCGCTCTCCCAGCACGGAAATGACCACTTGTGCCCCATTCCAGCCCCGCCGCTGGCTCGCAGCCCATTATGGCACACGCGGCCCCCGCGCTCCCACTTGGGGAGGGGGCTCATTTGTAGTTAAAAATCTATTGTGACTTGTCAGAAAAATGAATAAATGAGCACATTATTTTTTCATTTTGGAGCTCAGCATCTGTTTGTCTAATCAAGAAAGAGAACTGGGAAAGTCAACCAGGGCTGACGCACACATTTTATTTAACTTTTCCTCTGTCAAAGGAGTTTAAATGTGTAATGAACAGGCCATGGTGATTTGAAATATAATCCCATTACTCTGATGAGATTACCCAGGCTGTGAGAGTTCACAAATCATGCTTAGGGTTTTTAGAGTGAACAACACCCTGTTGAGATTTTTTTTTTTCCTCTTTTTGCATTTAAGCAGAGGTGTGTGGGGAGAATAAAACATGACAGTGCTTAACCCTTCGTGCAGCAGAGCGGGGCTGTGCCCAGGGCCAGCCCTCCCCATGCCCCAGCTGCCCATGGTGGCCCTGGGACCTTCTGTGGGCATGGCAGCAGTGCCGGGGAGCAGCGTGGGGCACAGGGCACAGGGCACAGGGCACGGGGCACAGGGTATGTTCTGCTGGCCCAGCTGGCCGTGTGCCCGCTGTGCCCACACATCCCTGCCCTCGTCACTGTCCTTGTCGTGGTGCTGCTCCAGGGTGGCTGCGCTGGGATGTGATTTAAGGGGCATTAATTTCAGCTGCAGCAGCAGCACCCAGCCCCACCCGCCACCACGGCAGCGCATTTCCATGAATTCATGGGCCCATTACAAACATGTCTCCATAAATAACTCCCCCCATTAATCTCAGGGCTGCACCCAGGGCTGTGTGATGGGTTTTGCCTGCTTGTCCCGGTGCCGGGTCCCAGCCCTGTCTGAGGGGCAGCTGCAAAACTCCCGGGATGCACCAGGCTCCTGCCAACCCAAACCCAAAGGAGCCTCTGGCTTGAATTGCTCCTGTGGGAGTCCAGGGCAAACCCCTGTGGGGCCAGGGAGAGCACCCAGTGCTCTGGCCTTGGGTGCCAGCACGTGCCTGGGTGCCCTGTGTGTTTCCTGCTCAAAGGCCACTCTTGTGGTCCCCAACGCTCTGATAAAGCCAAGGAGAAGGAGGGGGGTTGTCCCTGCAGACAGGACTCCTCCAACAGCAGGAGCCAGAGAAAATTCAGAAAACCTCTGCTGCCTCCACCAGCTCCCAGGGCACGGCAGGCCGGAGTCATCCTCGGTGCAGGAGCTGCATCCACCCTCCTCTGGCAGAGCCCAGGAGCAGGGATGGAGGAACAGCTTGCCTTGCTGACCCAGTTGAATGCCCATCTGACTCAATTACATCTACGACTACCGGGGAAAGACCAGCCCGTGCTGGGTCCGTGCTCAGCTGTGCACAGATTGCAGCCACGAGCTCCAGTTTAACTCCTTCAGAAACACTGAGGAGCAGAAATGTCTGCTCTGCAGGGGGGCTGCTCAGCTCTTGGAATGCCGGATCTTTCCAGGATTTAAGAAAGGTTTCCTGCGTGCCGTGTATCCAACTGGGTCTGATCTTTGAAAGTAAATTTGCTTTTTAACTGTCAATGGCTCTTTTAAAGCAAATAAACTCGTTCTGGGCTCCAATGTTCCCACTCCTCACCCAGCCCTTGGAGCAGCCTCCAGCAGCAGCATCTGTCTGTCCGTCCATCCATCCACCCATCCCTGCCCTGGCTCCCAGGAACACCCACACTGGGAACAGCCAGTGGCAGGTGACTGATGAGAGGGTGTGAACACACATGATCTGGGCAAGGGACTGTGCCACAAACATCACCACAGACAGCAGAGATTGTATTATTTGAATTTTTAGGCTTTACTGAGAGCAAACCTGCACATGCTGAATCCCTGCTGATGATAAATACACATGAGGGGGTGACAACAGCACTATGGCCATGGAAACAGGAGACTGCTGCAGTTCCTGATATCAAATAGGCAATTTTTCAGTTCAGTTAAAAAGAATTGAAACTGGGTGGCCAAAGAACATTCACAGAACAACTTTAATGTTAAATAGTTCACAGTCGGTTAAAGGAGTCATTTACATCAAAGGGGTTTTCCCCATTGCATCTGTGCTGCATTTGCACATAGAAAATATTTAAAAAATTAATAACAGACTATAAAATAGCGTTTCTCATTTTGCAGATACCATGGAAGACTGTACAGTGAGGCCTGGCCTCGGTGGTGTGGGCAGGGCTCCCTCCCTGCGGCACCGGGAGCCTGGACCGCGACAGCGCAAAGGGTGA